TAGTAAGCACCACGACCTGACGGTAAGTAATTTACAGTGAACAGTATGAATACCCACTACACCAAATGGCAAGTGAACTAGTCAAATCTTTCAAGTTTCAAAATAAGGTTTTTAAAAAACTCTTGCCTTAATTTCATTTCATATCATTTCATTTATTCAATAAATAATTTAGTTTGTATCTGAATGTCTTCATAATCATAAATTACATTGTAATATAAATCCCTGCAGAATGGATCAGTCATATTACTCAAAAAATAAAAAAATAAAAACATAACAGAACAATTAAAATAATAATAAAAGGAGAAATAATCTAATATAACATGACAAAAGACCGATTAAGAAAGAAATTACATAATTGGGTACTTTTCAAGATAAGAGTGGATCAATCATAAATTGTTCCGCAATTAAATGATTGAATTAAAATATATGTCAACAAAAAACTGCAATAATACATTAAATAATTGAATTAAAATACATGTAAACAGAAACAATAATACATTATATAAAACTGTCAACTGACGGTACTCAACGAGTTAAAGTTTTGAATGTATAGATTTGGAAATTCCACAGGCGTCAGTTCGTTCCAGAGATTTTTTACACATATGATATTTTTTTCATTCAATAGGTACAGAACAAGTCTTTTGACAGTTACTTTAAATAAATACGAAAATTGAGGAACACAGTAATCTAATTGAATTTTTTTAACTAAAGATCTTGTTATTGGTCCAACTTGCATTCGACCAAACATGTCTACTTTAGACCGATATTGACGAATGATGACGTAGTATAAACCAACATTGATCTATCGACCTTGTATCAACAACGCGTCGTGGCTTCGGCCAACGTGTCGTGGCTTCGATTCCCGCACAGTGCAAATCTTTGTGTGATCCACAGATTGTTGTTCCGGGTCTGGGTGTCATGTGTATGTGAACTTGAATGTTTGTAAACGCACCCACGATACAGGAGAAAGTCCTAGGGTCCTAGTATGTAAAAATACCAGTGTAATGTGTTTTTATTACTTCCACTGTCAGAACTTTATTGTCTTTTTTATATTTTACTAGCAGTCCATCCCGGCTTCGCACGGGGTAGGTTTTTTTTTTTTCAAAATGAAATGTAGCATATGTTACTCGGGGATAATGTAGCTTTCCAGAGGTGAAAGAATTTTTGAAATCGGTCCAGTAGTTTCGGAGCCTATTCATTACAAACAAACAAACAAACAAATCTTTCCTCTTTATAATATTAGTATTGATTTATGCTGCATCGTGCCTGGTGCTGAATAATTGTTTTTTCTTTCTTTATTTCTTTCTTTCTAATGGCGAGTCTGTTACTTTTACAATACTTTACAGGTTTAAAATCCAGTATTACTTTTACAATACATGTTTGTGTGTGTGTGTGTATCTTTATTTCAGACGCAAGTCCAAATCTTTTCACAAAATAACAAAGTTTCAAGCCATGCTAGAGGCTCATATTTATGAGCAGCATTTCGAACTAGTCGAGTTCCTCGTCAAATTATTACGTAAGTGAGCCGAAAACATAATAATTTATTTAGTATGTCTCACGAAAGATACAATACAAGTTTAGTAATTTGTTAATAAAAATATTTTCTTAATTTTTTCCGTAACACCGCAGTGTATGAGTGTACTCTGACCTACCAGTAACCGAATCATGTAGCCGCTCTGTTTCAATTTCACGTACGCCTGCCAATCAAACGGGTGATGCCGCTGTAATGACATTCCCTCCAAAATTATACCTTAACATTACATTACGCCTATAATTCAAAGGGTAGGTAGAAGCAGAGAATGGAGACTTTACTACGTTTACTGTGCTGTAGTGTAGAGATTGTGTAGCTATTCTCATTTCGATCTTTATTTATCTTCTTTATATATATAATTCTTCTGTGAGTGTGTATGTCACTATTGTCACTGGACTTCTCTCAAACGACTGGACCGATTTTGATGAAATTTTTGTGTGTGTTCAAGGGGATCTGGGAGTGGTTTAGATTCACAAATCGGCCCGGCAGATGGCGCTGCACTTGATCTCTAGGTTAGTTACCCTAAACGGCTGAACTAATTTGAATGAATTTTTGTTTATACATTCAAGTGGATATGCAGGACAACGTCTGTTGCGTCCGCTAGTTATATATATAATTCTGCTGTACGTGTGTATGTCATTGAACTCCTCCTAAACGGCTTGACCGATTTAAATGATTTTTTGTACGCGTTTGAGTGGCGCCCTGTATGGTTTAGATTCACAAATCAACCCGGCAGATGGCGCTGCAGTCGGTATCTGGTTATTACCCTAAACATTCAAGTAGATGTGCAGGACAACGTTTGTCGGATCCGCTAGTTTACATATTTATGCTTTATTGTTTACATAAGTTGCCCAAGTAACAATCAATTTAAGTAAATATGCGTACTTACAATGGGCGGTCTTATCACACAATGCTTTGCATGGAAATTTTATAAGAAATCAGATATGGGGTAATTCAGTGCACAATAAAAATTGAATCTTTCTTTCTAGATTACATAAGGATATATATCTATAAGTTGAAAGATATTGTGTAGTTACAAACCTATGGTCTTTATTATCATAATGTGTACTTCTAAATGTCATCCTTGGCCTTATCAAGGTAAGTAGCAATATTAAGTTTTCTGATTTTTGTAATTCACTTCGAATTTTTAACACTTGACAATAAGTCCACACTTTTTATATTACCTACATTAATTATGAACATGTTGTGTATCTATGGTATAGTCTATGGAGAGTATAGTCTATGGTGAGTGTTGATCAGTGGTGCGTGGCTGAGCCCACAGATTGTAAAAAAGATGACGCTATAAAACAGTATATCAATAACATTCAGTCGTTTTACTTATATTTTTTAGATTTACCTCTAGTTCCCGTATATCATATACAACAGAACATTTTACATCAAGCTTATTATTTCTCGACATAATAGGTGATAGACATGCACTTTTTTTTAAGCCCCATGTCATATAATTGAGAGCATACACTGGATTTAGTAAGTAGTTTTAACCCGATCCGAAATCCATAATCGACAGTTCTTTTTGTTATTTAACCGATACAAGTAAGTACCTAATCAAACAATGACGTCACTGACAAATAGTTAATGTAGATCTCATAAATTCACCTCTACACCACACTACTATAAATGAAACTCATAGAATCACAAAATATCCTTTACACGACTCACATAACAGTCTCATACAAACACACAAACGTACTTACGGCTACACATCGAGCTTTACATAACCAGTATAAACTGAACGTTAAATGTTCGTAAAGATGATGCGACACGATACCAGGATAAACTGGTGTTGTATAGATTGATGTGTGGTCGTGTCTACAAACGTACCATGGCACCATGCATGCCAGACGGTATCTAATTTGCATGAGACAAGCCGCGGGCACAAACAATTCCTCACTGAATGCTCTCTAATGGTCACCTCACTTCATAATTGTGGAGCTGGAACGTGTCCTACAAACTATCTCAGTGTGGCCACTTTGTAGGTGTGGTTCGGTTTGATGTATTTTGTTTTGTGTATGACATAATTTATAGTGATTGCAATATGGTATGAACAAAATGAGTACTGAATGTGCCCTTTGAGTACCGTCATTATAGACACAATTAAAGAAGAATAGGTTGCGGTCACCGGTGTTCTCGCGGTGTTTGACAGTTTAAATTGAAATGGTAGCTAAACGAAAGAGTCGATTTGTAAAGAGAATGGCATAATCCGGTAATCCGGTAAACGAGCAGACGGATCACTTGATGGTAAGCAATCGGGCCCCTCATGGACACCCGAAACACCAGAGGTGTTACAATTGCGCTACCGGCTTTTTGGGGATTAGGAATTTAAGGATTGTTAGAGATTCAGGGATTGGCGTGATCAGGGATTGGGGTGATTGGGGAAGGGGGGAGGATAATTGAAAGAATACCCATGTAACTTGATATAGGTAAGAGCAGATAGAATACAGGTAAAGTGTCAAATGAGAAGCTGGGAGAACAAAACATTGAACTTAGATGTTAAAAGGTACTATAACCTACGTCATAGGTAAAAATAAAAAACTTTTTGGCTAATTATTATGTAAAATTCATAAACATAACATAATAACATAACATTACGCCTTTTTATCCCCGAAGGGGTAGGCAGAGGTGCACACAGAAGTAACACCCACTTTTCACTATTTATGTTATGAGTCCCATGTAATAGGGTGTAAGCCTATTGCCATAGGTATACCGGGCACATTTCCAGACTCCGTGTTACTACTGAGATTTAAAAAAAAAACCCAGTAATACTTTGCCCGACCCGGGAATCGAAACCGAGACCCCTTGTCCGGCAGTTGCACTTGCGACCACTGGGCCAACGAGGCAGTAAAATTCATAAACATAGAGATCAATTTACCAGTACCTTTATCACATTAGCTCATTTGAATTTGGAAAAAGATACGTATAAAAATGGCTACAGATATTTAATATATAATTAGTTGATTTTTTAAACCTTAATGTATCTTTATACCACTATCAACAACACTCATGAAAATAGAATCATTATATCTAACAGAAAAACACGACAACTTTTAGTTTTCAAGATATTTTTTTAACTAACACGAGACAAAATACAATTTAATTGTTTTTGAATATATTTATTGAAATCTACAATCTTACGGCAATAAAATCAAATTACCATGGAAAATAATTATATTACACATAATAGACCCACACAATACAAACAAACAACATGTACCTTTCAGTACAACACACCTATAAAAAATAAAACGAACCGATTAATTATAAATCGTTTAATAACAACAACACAATTGAACTCCAATATCCAACACGAATATATAATGGTGACAAACGAAGGATTACTTTACCCAGTGCACAGTGTGAACGCGGCCTTATGTCAACAATTAATTTGTGCAAATCACCGGTCGCGCTCTGCAAATCGAATCAGCATTCGATTGCGTACGGGCGCGTTCTTTTTGCCCCAAGATTGTGGTTTAAAAAGAAATTTAATCTTGCTAATAAACATGCAAACACGAACGCGGCGGCTACCTGTTGAAGCGCGCGAGACAAACGATTCCTCAGCCAATCACAGCCCAGCGGCCGCCCACGGCCCCCCATCATTGGCCAGCCACGCTAGAGGGGGGAAATCCAAGGGGGGACAAGCCAGAGTTCGCCGTTAACATGACACTAGCAAGAAAAGCGCCGCATTGAGCTTTCGACGAGCTTTTCACTACGCGCGCGGTTAATCGGTTATTATCGCCGATATTTTGTATGTAACGCCAATAAATTAAAAACAAGAAAATAAATACTTCTGAAAAAAAGGAACTGTTCGAACAATCGTTTATCTACGAAAATAATGCGCGTGGAGTACCGGTGTGGAGAAAATTAATTTTTGTAAAAGTTTTTTAAAAAGCCGTCAAAATTGATCTAACAATGTCTCTGGGTAAACAGCCCAACGACCACATAAAGAGGCCTATGAACGCCTTCATGGTGTGGTCGAGGGGGCAGCGCCGGAAGATGGCGCAAGACAACCCGAAGATGCACAACTCTGAGATCTCCAAACGGCTGGGCGCTGAGTGGAAGCTGCTCACGGAGATGGAGAAGCGGCCCTTCATTGATGAAGCTAAGAGACTCAGGTGAGCTATATATTATTGTGCCTGAAACTTCAGAAACTGGAAATGTTAAAGTCGGATTCATAAAAAATATTATTACAAATATCGAAATTAAATCGTCATAGAAAGTAATTTGTGGTCTTTTAAAACTAAACAATTAATCCTTATTTAATTCAAACACAAATTTAGATTAAATAACAAGAATAAATAGCTAAGACAGTGCGTTACTATTAATTTTGTTCTCCGGTATTACTGTTTTTTTTTAAATATATTTAAAGAAAGACAATATTTTTATGGTATGGTATACATATCCTATAAAGGTTATATGTAATGTCAATACACTGTTTCTAAGTCATAGTAATCACGACAACTTACCTAAACTAAATTATCTGAATCACAATTTATTAAACCTCAATGTTTAATTAACACATTTTTAACCGCACACCTTTATCTCACCTTGATTAAATACAAAACAAATATTAAACAAACGAATGGAGGTTTCAACAAAAAATCAAGATAATAATTTAAAAACATTACCCTCCTTCTTTGGCAGTCGGGTAAAAAAGGAACGAACCACACACAGTTACCCTTTCATTCGTAAAATAAATAAAACGACTAAAAACTATTTAGTCTCGTTCATTATCTTTTTTAATTTCATATCTGTGGCAAACACTGAACAAAAGCCACACACCTGTATTTCGTTATCTGTAACAAAAAGCTGTATTTGTTTTGTAACTGCATTTCTTCGCGCTTTTAATTGTTTAGGAATTATTTTGAATGAAATATCACTAACTTCTTTATATTTTTTGTTGCTTCTACCGTGCGTTTGGAGTTACTTCTACAATTATTTTGGAATTAGTTCATTGCAACCCAAAACTGCGTAGTGTATTTTATAGACATATCTATATTCTGATCTGTTGGCTAATCTTTTGTAACACTGTTTCACTAACGGTAGCTGTAAAATCAAAAAGGATTAGATTAAGTATTTAATTTATTAAACTGTCAAACACCGCGTATATATTGTTCTTTAATTGTGTCTATAATGACGGTACTTAACGAGTTAAATTGATATTATGGCTACAAAAAATTTTCAAAATTAACCTAGGTAATCTGAAGTCTAGTGTTGTTTAAAAAATAAAACAAGTAAACTACTAACGAAAAGAATAATTAAACAATATGAAAAACATGATAATTATAATTAAACAATGGACAATCGATATAATCTATCAATGAAGTTGATCCGATTGTTTGACGATCTTATTCAGTCTAAAAAATCCAATAAATGAGGCACGGGGACTTATCTAGGTTAAGACTACAACGACTGCTAACACTATTTATTTTATTTTTTCATTGTAAACATCTCCCTAACCCTAGCTATTATCAAAGACTCCCTTAAGCAAAGTCAGCGGGTAAGGTGCTAGTTTGTATAATAAAACACACACCCATTTAGCGACACAATTATGTGTCAACAACAAGATGGCACCGGATGTTTGATGGTGTTATCTCTATTAATTAGGCATTATATTAAGTATAAATGTCGTTTATTCTCTTATTATATCTGTTGATGATATTTTTTAAAAAGGTTTTATTAGGTTATGGAAGGTTTTTCCTGGTTAAAGGTTTTTGTGATTAAATAAAAGGATTTTGTCTCTGTTTACTTTCCGACCTACTTTTCATTTTTATAACATAACATAACATCACGCCATTTATCCCCGAAGGGGTAGGCAGAGGTGCACATTATGGCACTTAATGCCGCTGTACAATG